TTGCGTATGCTATAGGACAGCAGCTGAGTAAATTCGTTTACAAATCAATTTGAGTTTAAATTGAAAACGTTACTCACCATTCCAATTTTAGCCAACAGTATTTGTATGAAAGTATTAGATACACATTCTATCCACTTGTTATTTAATGTAACAATAGAAAAGGTTTTAAGTGAAATACGAACAATCACGACACAAGCCAATAAAATAACTAACAGCCATCAACAAGATTTTTTGCCCATCAGACAACGTTTCAACGCGGCGGCCATTAAACTAATCGAGTGTAACAAATAAAGGATTCAATGAATTTTTTTTCACACAAACAGTGCTGTGCCTATCAAATAGAGTATGTATAAACTGAAAAACTATAGCACTTCATCCCACACACAGAGCTGTGTAGCGTAGATATATTGAGGCTTTTAAACCACTATGTTCATATCGCTTATTCTGTGTTTCAAACTCATAAGTTTTATCGTAGTCAATACTGGAGAGGCTGTCTATCGTCTTCGAATTACAAGACAAGTGATTTTGAACAAAAAGTCTCTAACTATTTTATTTTTGACTGGCCTGTTGGTCTAGTAGTTAGTGACCCTGACTGCTACTCCAGAGGTCGGGTTCGGTTCCTACCTAGGACAAATTATTGTGTGATGAGCACGGTCATTTGTTCTGTGTCTGGGTGTAATTTATATATAATATGTATGTATTTAGAAATATACTCGTATAAGTATGTTTATCAGCAGTCTGGTTACCATAGTACAGGCTCTGCCTAGTTTGGGATCAGGCGGCCGTGTGTGAGATGCGTGAAAATATTATTATTATTCTTCTCTATAATATTAATTCTGAAATTAATTTTCTACAGTTAAGAATATAAAGCGTTACAAATCTTGGTTTTCCAGTGTTATATAATTTAATTTATCTTTTTCTAATATAATAAAATCTAAACACAAATTGTATATAGCTTAAAGTTGAAACGTTTAGGGAAATAATACCTTCTTATCTGGATTAGAAGATCCAAATTGCGATGTTCAGAAAATTTGCGAAATATTATCTAATCGGGCGAATAAATTTAAAGACAATAATTACAAAAGTACGTTAGAAATTAAAATCAGTTTTCTGTCATGAAACATTATTACGATAAGATTGTTATGGAAAATGCTTGTAGATTTCAGCTATAATTTATTTAAGTTGACTTTCAAAAAATTTTTGGCGAGACCTTTTCTACTGAAAATCAATAAGTACTAAGTATAGCGCTAGAGTACCGAAGAATTAGTGTAAGAAAATTACAGTAGAGAAGTTATGATAGAATTAAGTTTTAACTTTAATTACCTATTATATTTATGTATTTAGAAATATTTAAGTATCTCTGTTAGCAGTCTGGTTACCATAGTACAGGTATGCCTAGTTTGGGATCACACGGTCGTGTGTGACATGTGTGCAGTTGTGTGCAGCATGTGTGCAGCAGTCATTATTATTTTCTGAAAGGAATTCCGTGGTAAGAATTACTGCAAGTCTTCTGTATATTTTCTTGCCTTATTCTTTTTCCTTGTCTTGACCATAAAAGAGACATTCTAAAATACCTTACAGAATACGTTGACCAAGCGTTGACGTAGCGTATGACTGATGAGGTCTCGGATTCGATTCCTGGGTCCGATCACATGTTTGAACGAACTGCTAATATTTGTTTCGGTGTTTCCTATGTATACTATATATGATTTACAAGTATACGAGTATTCTATCAGTTAGATCTGATCTAGATTAGCTGTCATAGTACAAGCTCTGCTTAGTTTGAAACTAGATGTCGTTGTAACAGATGTACAAAAGTATTTTTAAAATAAATGTAAATATTATATACAAGGAGATACATTTCAGCATTGACTTTGTATCTAGTAAAGATGGCGACATAAATTGTCTTTGTTGAACTCGTGTGTCGTATAAACCGCTTAGGACGATGGACGGCGATATATAAACTACAACAAGTCTTAGCCGTGGAACTGTTAAATGTGGATAAATAACATTGCACGAGACAGATGACGGTACGGGTGATATTTGTTGTAACGTAAGTCATTTGTGCGATATGGTTTATTTTTTGATGTTTTATATTTTAATATTTTTATACTTCAACATTAAAAACTATGAAATAATAATTTAAAATACAGTACAATATGATTTTATAGTACATTATGTTTATATATTAAATTAAAAATAAGCTTTATTGTTTACTCTATTGTATTGTTGATTTTTTATTTAAATTAATCGTATACTACATTTCAGCTTTCTGTCTTACTAAAATATTGATTATGGTTTTAATTTTGCTTTAATGTATACATATGTATGATGAATGTAGTTACATAGCAAATATAATTATCAATAAAAATAAGTATCTCCGTGTCCCATGTTCCAAATTAGTGAATATTTTGTAAACGGTAATTGGAATCAAAAATTATTTAGATAAGAAGAATATTTTTCATTAGAGGCCGAAAACCTAAGACAGAACTTAAGTAGAATTGCAATATAACACTGTTATTAGAGTAGAAAATTCATGCTCTTAGAACCAATCTATTATTGCCATCTCAAAGCTAAGCTGCGTCATGGTACCCATTACGTTAAGGCAACTAGATCTTAGCTAGTCGCAACTAACGAGATGCTTTCTAATCATTCGTCACGCAACTTACTTTACTTATGCTAAGACTTTTTTTTCTTTCAAAAAACTTCGTGTTGTTTACCAATATTGTTTCAATTCAATTCAATTCAATTCAATTCAATTCAATTCAATTTATTTGCGATAATATGGGTTATACAAAAAGAAAAAAACAGGTGGAAAAGATACAGCTAGTTTCACCATATTAAGCCGAATGTCACAGCATGCAAAAATTAACAATAATTATTGATTATAACAAAATAATATCCAATACTGTCATTTTCTAAATAATAATACAGTTCTTAAGTTAAATAATACATAATAAACAAATAATAATAAATACAAACTATAATATGTCAAATTAATACGTCAAAATTTCTGTACTGATGTATGTCAAAGGAAGATGTAAGTAGTTTCGAAACCTAAAGAACAATGGCAGAAACATATTTACCTAAAACTGAAGCGTTTAAAAAATTGACTAACAATAACCTTACTAAATATTTTTTCTATGATTTATCATTATACCGCCATGTGTTGTATAAATCTAATAAGAGATTGGATATTTTTAAAGATTTTATTTGACCTAAGTACGTAATGTCAGAATCGCCATCACGAACTGACTAGGGATGCGTGATGACATTATTATATTATGGAACGTTTTTATCGATAATCGATTGTTTTAACTTTGGCTTAAATATCTATCGAAGGTTCACCTATTATGATTATGAATTTGCTTCTGCCCACGGGTTTACTCATACGCTACCGTAACTAGTACTGTTGTGACTAAATCAACCTAATTAGAAATAATTTAGAATATTTTTGACTCTTTTTAAAAGATTTTTGCTACACCAAAATGAATAGAATATAGTTACGTTATTTTCCTGTAGAAAAATACTAAAACAATATACTGCTTAGTGTGATGAGAAAAAGACATTGTAGGTTGATAACGGCATATAAATAGACATGCATCGATATTTTTAAAATGTCGATACGTCGTCGTCGCACTTACTATAACCCGGCAATCTCGTGCGCGACCGTCCCACGGGGTGACAGACAGTGGCGGGGGCGAGGTAGCGCGTCATTCTAGCACACGGCTACACAACGCTACACCACCCGCTACCCGCTGACATCGTGAGTACCTCGTCCCCGCCACCGTCTGTCACCCCGCAGGACGGTCGCGCACGACGTTGACGGACTATAGTCTTGTCGTTTGACACTTACACGCATGACTTACATACCATTTCTCACAAGGCAATTGTAGTTTATTTGGTTATTTTACTTTTGTTTAGAATTAAACTCTCATATTATGTTTATTTTAATTTTATATAGTGTTACTCCATTATGCATGATGCCTTAAAATGTTGTGCATTAATCTCAATATAAAGGATGCATGCTTTAGATTTTAGTAAATAATGTCACAACTACTGACTGTTGAATAACTAAATAATTAAATAAATGCTCCCGCCTTGTGTAAATGTGTATTGAAGTACATTTATTCAAATTATTATTAATAATTTATGTACTTATGACTAGTATTACACCTGCTATGTAAGCGAAGATTTTTTTCTATTGTTTACCAATACATGCCAAGCAAATACCCTTCCTTCCTTCACCCATTTAGAGAGTCGGCTAACACTTTCTACAGCAAAATAGGGTTGCTTATAAGTAATAATAATGATGAATAATATTTTCGAATATATGACACACAACGCCATCTAGTTTCAAACAAAACATTTACAATATTTTAGTACTTAACCTCGAAACATTCAAAATCCAAAATCTTTTTTCCTAGACTTCTTTCGCTAGTAATTTTTTTATGAGAATGTTCAAGAATAAATTCTCAAGGGTTATAGGCATTTTTGATATTTAAACGCTGTCAATTCACTTCAAATAAAATTATGTATGGGGACCTGCCATTGTCCTTTAGGTATTTGGGCTGTTTTAGACGCAGATATCTCTATCGAGGTGTTACTGAAAGTTAGCGCTGTATTATAATGGTGCAGCATTATGCTGAGCAACATCTCCTTTTAATGAACACTGCGACGCAATTGTACAGCAAATATCTTATGTACCTATGTACTATGTTTTTGTGTTTAATACTATAGTATATTCTAATTCGTTACGTGTTACAATACTATATATGTTCTGAATCTGTATAATAATATTGTGATTGTGTTGCAATGTCATTAAAATAAACTTCTGCTTTCTTTCTTTCACTTTTGTAGTGAAAAATGTTTTAGTTTTAAATCACTTTCACTTAGATGTAGATTTAATTGAATAGTGCTTTTCACCTTTAATTTATCCATGAGATTAGTATTCATCAAAGGTAGAGCCAAAAATATTAATCTGGTTGGAAGGTGATTTCCTACAGTGAAAAAGAACCAAGGACTAGAGAAAACTGTTGAGACTTACCTCCGGACGCAGCGAGCAGGCCGTGCGCGCGCAACAGCGCCAGCAGCAGCAGCGGCAGCAGCGGGCGGCGCCGCATGCCGCGCGACACCGTTGCGCCCGCACCGTGTCGCCGCTCGCTCCTGCGGTCGCCCTCACCTACGACAAAAGAAAAAAAAAACGATTTAAATTTATTTTTCAATTGTATTTATATTTGATTACAATTTATCAATCAATATTTAAATTTATAATTCTAAATTCGGTGAGTAGTTTTGTTTATTTAAGTGATCGTAATTTTAGATAAAGCAATCCAAAAATATAACTTTCGTAAACCCGATTTCTCATAAGCAATAATAATTTTATCGTTTAGGCATAATTGTTTTGACCCACCACGTCCACGCGCTACGGAGTGCCTATAGACTAAGTAGAACTATCTGGAATTCTCGCAAATCAATCAAAAGCTTTTACCAGAATAGTGTTTAGGAAGTAAAACAATCAAACGATTTTGCTTCACGAATGGCGCATTTCGTGCGAAGAAATCAATACAAGATAAAGAGACGAATCACCATTGTCTACAATTATTCACAGAGAGGCATACGTTAGAGATTGGAATGTTGAATAGGATTCTTTAGATTTCGTGAGTGTTTCCTAAATTTCATAAAAGGTATGTGGTAGGTAGGTACAGATGAGATTTATTTATTCTTATTTTTGGAAGGAAGTCCCTTACCGCACGTTCCACGCTCTGAGCGGATAAGAGCAAGAACGAAAAATGTGTTGTTGTTATAACCGCGGGCAACGCCGCAGGGCGAAGCTAGTCTAAAAAAAGTAGCCTAAGTTACTCCTTATGTCATCATCTATCTGTTCAGCCGTTCCAGAGATTACCCGGAACAAACAGACAGACAGACAAAAATTGTAAAAAATATTTTTTTTTCATAAGTACCGTGTAAACATACATATGCATTTAGTAAAAAGCGGTTATTTTAATATTACAAACAGACACTCCAATTTTATTTATTTGTATAGATTTAACTTTAACTTAAGAAAATTATAAAGTATTATATTAGTAAAATAACATTATAAAGTAAGTATTTATATAGAGTTTTAAAAACGCAATATCACATTCAATTTCAAACGATTCTTTCTTAATTAAAGAGAAGATTTTCTTATATAAACAAGTCGTAAACTAAGCCCCTGGCTAGACTATCAGAATTATCGATACCAAGAAATACTCGCAACACGACCTTTGATGGCCTTTGGCAATAGATCGTCATTGATTTCGTTACTAAAATAGATGTTTAATAGATTAAAATTGACTTTTAAAATTTGTTTATACAGTTACAAGTGTAGTATAAAAGATTATTTGCCATAGGGGCACACTTGGGCATTAATAGTGATGGTGATGACCGCAGTGATAGCACGGCCTCACAAAAAACCGGTGGTAAGTACGTCTTTGGTTGCTTTTCACCGAGTGAGTGAGGTTACGGAGCCCAAACCTCCTCTCCCCCTGAATCTTTGCACTGACTGCGTAGTGTTTTAATCGGTCTCCTTGCCGATTCCTACTGCGCTGAGTGGTGTGGGCTCGATCCCCGCATGGCACAACACTTTGTGTGATCCACAAATTGTTATTCTGAGTCTTGGTTTTCTTTGTGCCCGTTTCATGTATGTTTGTGAAGTTCCCGTGACACAGGACATATTCCTAATGCGGGAGATGTCTCTAAAAAAAAAGAAAAGAATCTAGGACGAGTTCATGGTCAAGTGGGTGTTCATGGTCGGTGGCAGTTACTTACTATCAGGTAATACGTCTAAAAGTATGTAAAAATATTTTAAAATCTACGTAAATAAGTTTTTGTAAAGCTGTAATGCTGAAGAAAGAGACCACTGAACTGGATCGAGAGAAGGCCGATCTCGAATGTGGAGGACGTCGGCGGTGACACCAGCTTTCGACGGGACCGTAGGCTGCCAGAGAGTGGGGACCTCTGGTAACAGAATAACTGCTGCGGTTGACGATACGATAGCGGCCTGGTCTCGAAAATACGATCGCACATACTCCTGGCTCCTGCGACTCCCAGGAGCCGGAGATCCGAAGGGATTTCCTACACCGTCAACAAAAAAAAAGGTAGACAAAAGTTAGTAAGCAAAACCAGGTAGGTAGGTAAATAAGATATGAACACTCCGTTCATAATTCTATTCCAATTTCGAAAAAAAGCCGCCATATTTCTTTGTATCAGTGTTGCCCAAATCAATCGTAGCACGCCGTCAAATCGAGTTTGGCTCCAAAAAAGGCTTGATATTGAATTGAAGGTGTATTGTCGGAATCAATCGCGGGGAGACTCAATATCAGAAACAGCGTAGCTTGTTGTTTGTAATTGAATTGTCAGTTTATAGGACCCTGGACGCTTGGACTTTGAATCATTAAAATAAAAGAGAAAGCGAAGCGAGTGTAGTGTATTTTATTTGTTTTGTGTATTTTATGATTTTTGAAATTTGATGGAAAGTTTAATGCGAATTAATTTCGCTTACAAAACTCACCCAAACAAAACAAATGTCTTTCCCCGTCCCGTTATCCTATCGTCTAGAACTAGTTGCCAAACTGCGTCTTTTGGTATATTTTAATCTGGTTGAACTAATTTTATCATTAATGTTTCTTAATGCTTTGTCTCACCATATTTGTTATTGAAATTTAACTTTTAAAAATATCACCCACTTTAATTCGCCTAAATCATTACAGACCTAATGTAGAAATCAGTTTTTCATCTCTTAGATCGCCACTTTTGGAAATGATTAATTTTCATCAAATTTAGATGGGTTCTACAAAAATAAATTTTGAGTTGGATTTAAGAAATTGATCGACAATGGTAAAAACATCGTGCAACTTATTCGATTATTCGATATTCGGTTATTCGATTTTGAGATCAGTTTAAAATCATTACACATTAGGATAACGTAATTCATTTGCGTTATCAAATAGTTTCACGCTTCCGCTTGTACCGTAGTCCAAGCTTAAAGCGACCCTCTGGCGAGAATCACCTTTAGGTAAAAAAGATTCTCGAAAAGGTCCTGTTACTACGGCCCTTTAAGACATTGTTGTCTAACTGCTTTTGCACACTTCTATTCGGAGGGCGATCCTGTATAAAATATTTCCATAATATTTGCCAAATAGCGAATCAATGGTAAAAGATTTGTGAAAGGACCAAATTGTTTTGTTAAAATAGCTGTGATATTACTAACCTTTTTATTTGATACAGATTTTAGTTAGTAAGTTAAACATTGGATGATCAATGTAAAATTAAAAGATATTCCTTAAGTAAATAGAAACTAACGTAAGAATAATGAATGATAGGATGTGTTAAAGGTCTACTAGCAATCGAAATTACTAGTATTCCAGTTAACCAATCCCGCTAAGCTAAATTGCTTGTGTTAGGAGTGGGTTCACGTCGGTAGTGTAGGTCAGAATTTGAATCCACGACCTCTTCATCGCAAGTCCAATGCCTTTACCACTAGGCTAGCGCCGCTTAAAAAGGGCGCGGGAATTTTCAATGTCACCCAATCTAACGGGCATCTATTAAAATTAGATCATGCTTTGGAAACAGTAAACTGCGATTTAGACTGCGTAACAAAAATTTTAGATTAAAATTAGCCAAAGAAACAAGCAGAATTTCACAGGGATTTTTCAACACTTGATCATATCTATAACATAAAACTTATCAAAAAAGTAACGATTATGGTATTTATTACCACCTGGACTACAATAAAGTGCTCGACTCAATTTTAAAAATGCCAAAATCCTGTGTATTTAATAATTTCATTTTTTGTGTTTTGTGCATAGATAAAAATATGTAAGCCTCAATAACAATATACTAACAAGACCACGAAAGCTTAAATAAAAACAGAAAGAGTTGGTGAAACTGTTTCTATAGAAAGAAGAGTTAGACAAAGGGAAGGCTGATATAAAAAAAGAGAAACGGACATTACATGGAGAAGGAAGATACAAGATCGCACTTTACGATATGCCCTAGTGACGGCCTATGCTGAGGATCAATACAATTTTAACGAAGCTGGTATCAAATAACAAACAACAGTATTTAGCATTGAAATATGTATTTCATAAAATTGTTAAATAAAGGCATAATGTAAGGCATAATTATAACATAGAAACAAAAATAAACAAAAAACCATTAGAACCCCCAGTTTCCATGTCCAAACTGTTTCTAAAAGAAAATAAACATTATAATCAATTATGTCAACGCACCGTACTGACGACAGACGTTTTCACAAACTTCGGCTTCAGTAAAGAAAAAAGAACTTGTAATTACAAAAGTTAAGAAAACAATTCATAACAAGTATTAGTTACTACAAAAAAAAAACTTTGAAAAAACACATTAATCTTTATTAGTGCGGACTTTTATAGCTGATATGAGTAATGACGCTAAATTTCTTGCAAGCAAATAAACTAATATTAAAGATATCACTGAAGATAATTTATCAAAGAATGACATGCCATCCGAGGTCGTCATGGATAAAGAAATATGATTAAATGAAAACTGAGGGAAGTCAGCTGACCGAAAACGAAGGAAAACGTTCTCTCATTAAGAGATAGTAATCAAAGGATGAAATGCAAAATGCAAGACACTGGAAACAATTCAATGAAATAATACCTTTAAGGTGGTAATTCAAACCGAATAAAAGCAACCGTTATCCGTGTGGCGTCGGATTAAGAATTCAGAGTATCACAAAAACTATTCATCCCATGGGTGTCGTAAGAGCTGACTAAGGGAGTTAAACTACGCAGAACAACAGCACTGCAAAAATAAGGAAAACTTGAAACAAACCCTATACCGAACCATCGGCAAGCGTGGTTTAGTAGGCCAAAACTAAGGAGAGGGCATGTCCAGTAGCAAACTATTAAAGGCTGTCGATGTGATGTGAAGAATAAGCTACCTATCGTGAACTAACTATCACTTAAAAGTCAAGTTGTGACATTTATATTTCATATGTTCATTCATAATTTTCTGTGCCTCGGCGTCCAGTCCAAACATTTCTTTATGCGATTTCAGTAAAGCGTGTAGTACTAGTGAAACTCATGGTGGCGTGGGAAACGAACCTCCCTAAAGACCATGCTTTAAAAAGAAACAGTTACTTTGACTTATATGACGAAATAACTAAAAATGTTTATGTCGTTGCATTGTATGTCGTGGAAGTGGGTGCGAGGGCTATACAAGCTAAATCCCTCTATAACCTACTTAAAGACCTTGGATTGTCAAGAGCTTCAGTAAGCTGTTTTCTTGAACGAATATCCAAATCGGCATTGCTTGGCTCATATAAAATCCGCGGGCCGCCAGAGAGTGGGGAAATCTGGTGGCAGATTGAATGCTGCGGTAGGGGTTAGGATGGCGGCCTGATTGCATTATGACGAAATTAAGCCCCACGTCGCGATTTAGGGGGAAGTGTTTTTTCCCCTGTGATAGGGCCTGATTAGGCATGGTGTCAATTAGGGGACGACCTGAAATAACATGGTCCAGGGCCTCCAGAGAAGGGCCGTTCTGAAGCCGGCCGTCTGGGTGGTTTTTATTGAATCCTGGTTCCTGAGTACTCGAGGAGCAGGAGATCCGAAGGGAAGGGATTTTCCACCCCGTCAAAAAAAAAGGCTTATATCAAATATGGTTAGGTAGAGTGGATAATACAGCAGGTAGTGGAGGTGAGTGCTGACGCGTCGCAAGGAATACCACTAAAAAGTCGCATGTGTTGCCCCCATCTATCACGCGATGGACCCGGCACTCGCACGGTAAATCCATTGAACGCTAAAAAATAGGTCTATAAGTTGGAAATAACGCTACACCGGTATGTTGCTCATTAGTTTTGACGCTATCTGAGTACTAACAGCTTAAATTTTTGCAGTTTTACCAAATCTATAAGCAAAATACAATTAAGCAACCAAATATTCAAAATTATACAACAAAATTCACAATTGACCTATTATCTTAATGACCTGATGACCCAATGATATGACGGCTTACATTCTACGTATTTGTAGAATAGATAAAAAATTATGACTATTATGGAGGATTTAAGCGATCACTGCGTCTGTTTGTAAAGTCTTCCGCGACATGGGAGAAGAATTAAAAACTTTGAAATAAACCATAAAATTAAATTTACAAAAACGGAAAGTAATACCGTATTATGAATGAAATTAACCTCCAAAGTGGAAAAACGAAATGGAAAAGTAAATATCTTTCTCATAAATCAACAACAGATAAGTTCGAAATCAATCTTTCAAACATCACAAAAAAAGAAAGAATTGTAATACAAAGGAACCGAAACTGAACGCATACAAAGAACCTAATCTATATAAAAAGGAGAATATCTTCGAGATAGTTAGGCAAATGACTCTGGCTGACTCGGCTGAAAGACGTATGGCTGATGAATTAATCATATTTGCTGACCACTGCCCCACATTTAAGTGTAAATGAGGGTGAAGTCTCAAAGGAAAGGGAAACGTATAACAAACCAATGGATGGGTTTAAGTTTTTTATTTTTTATTTTATTCAATATTTCGTATGTAAGCAGGTTGCAAGGTTTTGATTTCAAACCTATTTTAAATTACAAGAGATTCTTAATTTGATTTAATACTATTGTTTGGTGTGTGCGTATGATACACACACAATAATAATTTGATCCCAAACTAGGCAGAGCCTGTACCGTACTATGATAACTAAACTGATGGTAAACGTACTCCAATATTTTTTAATAAATACATTTTGTAGATAAATAACTTGCAGACATAGAACAAATGATCGTGCTAATTACACTATTGTTTGTCCTGGTTGGGTATCGAACCTACGACCTCTAGATTAGAAGACAGGATCAATAATTACTACACCAACAGGCTCGTTAATTGAAATAAATATGGATGTAGAGGAAAGGGCGTTATGTCCCTCCAACACAAAGGGAGGATCCTCCGACCCGGCGGGGTGACCTTGCCTGCCAGGCCGCTGCCCAACGAATGATGTTGGGAAGTTGTTTATATGCTAATCGTCGAGAATTTTTATTATCGAGAAACAAGATTAACAGTTACTCCGTAGTTCAGAGTGTCTTCGATAGATGGCGCTGATGTTTCTTTGTTTCACCGTATGTGGAAGTCCCCACAATGGATCTAAATATCGCCAGATGATGTTCATGTAGCTTCTTAAATTACAAGACGGACATAGGGGTCCGCGATCCAAGCTTCGAGCAGCAGTATCCCGTACCCAAGCTCACTGACCCAACCCGGTTTTCACACTCCAATTAATTGACCTTCTTCCTTTTTAGTTTCCTTTGTTCGAAAATGATCACATTCTCAAGGAGAGTTTGCGTCAAACAGGTAGCCAAAGAAACCCATAAGAAATCTTTGCAATGTAGGGAAAAGAGAGAAAAAATGATAGTTATAATAACAAATCCATAATTCCATTCTTATTTTATAAATTTGAAAGTGCGTTTGTTTGATTAATTGATTGTTTACGCTTTCGCGCCTAAACCACTAAACCGATTTTAAAATCTTAAAATTATTATTTTCACGACATACTGTTTAGATTGTATCAACGGATTTATTTATTAATTTACTTTAATTATAACAGTTTCACCAATTACGATAATCAAAGACACATCCACAGTGCACAAATGAAAACAAAAATAAAATATAAATAAAAAACAACATTATATTCGCCCATCCATTCACAAACAAATCACAGTCGGGATTGGCACGCAGGAGAACGTTGAGTGCGCCACGGTGTGTCATGATGGTACGGCAAACAACATATGAGCCTGGTTGCGAAGGTAGTTGTTTGGTGGATGGGACGAAGAAGTCCGCCAGGCATGATCAATTTTGCGTGGTTAGAAAAGAATTCCTTTGTATTAAAGAGTCAGGTCCGTTCCTTAAAGATGGTATTTTCATAGCTCACATTTTCTACTTTTATTTGTATAGGAGAAATTGTTAGATCAATCACGTTTGTTTAGTAAACGCTTTATATTTACCATCGAAAAAATGGGCCCAAATTCTTTTGAACAAATATGTACACAACTAAAAAGAATTCATAAAAATATCTCTGTAATTTATCCTCTGTCGTTTTATTTTTAATACAACAGTTCTTAACAAATTTTGGCCTCAATATAAAAAAATTAATAATATTTTCGGACATCAATAGCCTGTAATAGGCCAATGCTGGATATAGGCCTCTCCTTAGCAAGGAGGTTTTGCCTTACTATATCACGCTGGCCAGACGGATTGGTATAGGGTTTGTTTCAAGTTTTATTTCTCTTTGCAGTACTGTTGTCTTGTCGTCTGACACACAGCGCCATCTAATTTAAACTAAGCAGAGCTTGTACTACGAAAGCTAGATTGACTGATAGAATACTTATATACTTCTTTTTTGTAGATTCATACATTAAAAAAAGACAATGAAATGTACTCGTACCATAATTTATAAATATCATACTCATTAATTTTCGTCCAATTAACTTACATTCTTATCAAAGATAATAATATATATTTTACCACATTCACACAACGCCATCTTGTCCCAAACTAAGCAGAACTTGTACTATGGCTACTAGACAACTGATAAAATTACACATATACTTTTTTTTTTGTAAATACATACTTATTATACATAGAAACACCCAGACCAAATCAAACAATAAATATTCATGCACACAAATGTTTGACTTGAGCGAGATCGAACCAGCGACCTTTGGAATAGCAGTCTTTTACACAAACCACTACGCCATTCGGTCGTTGAGTCATCAAATATAGTGTTGCTGTAATACTATTAGGTGTAAAAAAACTGCTAGGCATTTTACCTATTGTACATAGTACTTCTTCACTTCAAAATATCATAATTCGTTACGATTCACTGGCATTTAGAGTAAAGTATTGTAGCTTACTAAACCACTGACGATTTGTTATATCTCACAAAATGGATTCACAATCCGGTTAAATTCAACATATTGCCCAGCTTTTACGTAGTCATACTAAAAGTGAATTTGCGAGTTTGTGGGACATTGGTGCCAATTCTGTTGTTCGAAAACTCTCCAAACTAAAATTTAATAAATAAATTGTCCTGTCAAATATGACGTTTTCAGAATAGGAAACGTTTTTTGACATAACTAAACATTTTTTTAGTGATTTTTAGTTTAGTTTAGAGATTTTTCGAACAAAATAAT